TTTCTGGGAGTAGTATTTAATCATGTTATTTATAACTCTAATTCATTCTAGGTTTCTGGTATTATTATGTGAGGCATCATTATCATATACTTCATAATTTTTTTTTAATATATAGACAACATTATCTCCCGCTTAACACAATTTTATTCGCAGTTTTATTGAATCATGTAGGATGATATTGAATGACAAAGTTATTACTATAAGTATTTAACATAATTACATAAAAAAAAAAATTAATTCGACACTATTGATATATTAAGTTAAAAGAACTTCGTGCTCAAATAATTTACGCTCTGTATACATTTTCTAATTTCAAATAGTTAATTAGGGTGTTCGATTTATGACAAGTATTGTTCATGGCATATGTAATGAATACAAAAGATCCCTTTTAAATATAGTTAAGAGTATGTATTGTTGTTTTAATGCACGCGTCTATCCCACACACAGATATAGCTAGACAAGGGCCAACATCAATTTCAATTCTATCAATATATCTTGTGAGTTTCGTGTCCCATTAGCCATTGTTTAGTTTACATCATGCTTTGCTTATTATAAACCATCGAGCTAATTACAATTGCTGGCCATCTTTGTCATTGTTGGCTAAATGGTCAACAGAAGAAATTCAAGTAGCTAGGATTCACTGTTGATCGATTGATATGAAGCCTTTTGCTTAATTAGTTAGCTTTTATTTGTTTATTCATGCATATTCTTGAAAATTAAATATGGCTTTTGATTTTTGAAAATATATATGCATTAAATTTAGTTTTTATTTTGCACAAAGTTTCTCTTTATTTTAAGAGTTTAATAGTTATACACAGTTGGTACAAAAATTTTACACAGTCAATCAATCAAAAATTATACCTCATATAGCGTTTAAGATTTAGGGTTTAGAGTTTATGATTTAGGATTTATTACATAAGTCAACAAATATATCATTTTTAGTAGATATGATTGGATGATAAAGTAAAACTAATTTTTATTGTTTGTACATTACTATTAAATTCTTATAATTTTTTTTAAAAATTAATAATTTTTAATTTTTGGTATATAAAGAGTTTAATTTTTTTTTTGAAACAGCCAATAATATATTGAATATGTGGCACTAGGGGTGCTACAAACCCACAGTTTCAGTGAAAAACAAGGTAAGGTATAGTCAGTTTATGAGCAAAGCTAGGCAGCAATCAAGAAGATTTACATATTTAGGTATAGTTTATCCCAATAGAGAGCACATGTAGCCTGGTAGGTACGCCTGGCCACCATATCAAATCTCAGACTTGACTTCTCCACCCATTTTGCCAGCATTGGAATGAACACGCTATCCATATAAAGAGTTTAATAGTGTAACAAATTTTACATTATAATCGATACAAAAATAAGTATTACTTTTAATAACCTTGTTAATAAAAAAGCCACTAAAATTTATCATATATAACCCATTTGTAAAAATTCTATAACAGTATAAAAACGCTCAGAAACTATTAAGAGGTAGACTAGCTTCTCTATTTTAAACAATTTCCATCACTATTAATTTAGTAATAAGTCATAGCATGTCAGAAAACACTATTTTAGGACAAGATGCGTGGGATGACATGTTTTAATATATGTCAAATTATTAGTAAAATGTGATATAAGTTATTTGAATTTTACAAAGATCGTAACAGGTTTAGTATTAATGAGTATTTTTAAAATAATTCATATTACTCTATAAGACTATAATTACAAATTGACAATAAATAATGAACTCTTATTTTATATAAAAAAAATAGGACTATGCATTAACAATGTAAAATCATTTTATACAATTATTTAATTATGAAACATCATTTATTATAAATTTGTTAACTTTTAAAATAATCATCTTGAAACTCACATAAATTAATGATGATTTTTTTTTTATTGATTCACCACCATTAAATATTTTATATAATAAGTATACAAACTTTTATTCTAATAGTTCATGCATGCATATATTAACATATACCTTAAACAGGGGAATAGGTTAATTTCACTGTCTTCATGAACAAGATAGAACAAATTAATAAAGCAGATTAGGTTATTCTGATTATCGAGCAAGAGAATGAATTATTACTGTCGTGTGTTCTTCTTTCTTTGTTTCCCTCTTGTTTTTCTTTACATAGGATATCACTTATCAGCTAGCTGTGAAGTATCCTTATCGTACAGTTAACTATCCTTTATGAATGTAGTTGAATTTGGTTTTAGATTACCATCGATTTGACTACCAAGACCATGACTCTCTTGAAATGTGCATGCATATTTTTGGAAAATATAAAGGCAACCATTATTATCTGTCAGTCTTGCCGGCTTATTCATGTCTCCTTATCAACACATGCAGTGTTCTCCTAGAATTCTGTCAAATATATGTGCCTAATTACTGCTCTCAAAATCGACTAAGTTTTATTGCATATAATAATATAGCTGTCAAAAACAGAATATTTATTTGTTTATATTTATGAAAGATCAAACCTAAACCAATTAGGCTCATCAGCTTAAAGATGAAGTGAAGATAATGGTTAAATGATTTGTATGATAAGCCAAAAAGAAATGTAAGCAGCTTATGGACAAAACTAGCTGCGGCATCAGTAATATACATTTTGTTGGGAGAGTTGAATACTCTATGAAAGGGGTAACTAATCTTTCAATATAGTACGTAAGCTTATAATTGAATTTTGAAAGATTTATTAATTAAGGATTCGAAAATAATTTGGTTAAAGAATATAAATTTGTACTATTTATGTTAATCAATGTTAATAAATTAGATATTATATCTTAACCCAAAACATTAATAAATTATGTCGGTAGGAGTTTTTTTTTCTTCTTTTTTTCTTCTTATATATACTACTTAATATATCTAATTTTATTTAATATGAGATTCTTAAACATTAATAAATTATGTTGATATGATCTTTCTCACTTATATATTATTTAATATATCTTATTTTATTCAATTTTTATTCACACTTAAACCGTAACATATTGCGTAAATTACTGAGATAAAACTCATTCTGATCGAAAAATAATGATCATCATAAAAAATTACGCATGTGTTTTATCTAATTTTTTATCAACAAATATTAATTTTGTTATTAGTGAGAGTATTCGAACACACCTTTCTTATTACTCCAACCATATGTCCCTTCCTCAAACCACTCATACCACCAACATATATTTTGTTCATAACTTAAATGATCCATTTTTACGTTGGAGGAGAAAAATTACAGTGATAGATTGTAATGCTAACGCACAACCGCATTTGTCTCAAACAAAACACTAAATTGATCATTATTTATTAATTTTTTTTCAATTTCAGCATATTACCTTTTATAATGTTTATTATGAAAGTAAACTTTATAATATAATTTATTCGCATTTGAAGTGATAAGATATATATAAAAAAATCATATAATGTATTATCAATAACATTAGGAAAAATCACATTTTATTATACACTTAAAATAACATTATTATAGCATGTATTTGTAATATTATATCTATCTCCTATTTAATTATAATGACTTTTTCTATATACTCGTATTCCGATTATATCGTGTAATTCAACAGTGAAGCATATATTTTGTTACATATATAAATATGTGTACAATGTTAATAAAAAATATAATAAAATGCTTACTATAAAAAATATAAAAAAACTTATTTTTTAATGTTAATATAAAATATGCTGTACGTTGTTAATACAAACATTTTCACACATTCTGAATTAATAAGAAATTATCAATTCTCTAATTAAGATATGATGACTTTTCCACCTCTCATAACACTAATCAACAAGGCTCTCACGGTATGACCCCCTTCACTTATTTATTTTTTCCGTCAAACGCAAATAATCAACTTCTAGCTTCCTATTAATTTATATATCATGCATAACAAAAATACATCATGCATCATTAATTTCCTAAAATCACACTTCAATTAAATGTACCTAAATTCTTCATGAAACCCTAACCCACAAAGACATTCAATTATCTATCAGATCATCGTTTTCACTAAACAATACAATAAACATAATCATAATTCAATATAGAACCTAATTAAATCGCCAATTGCAACTTCAGAATAGAAATTGGAAAATCTTAAGAATTTAATGATTTCTCCCACTACCCATTCTCTCTTGCAATCCCACGCATGAATCACTTACTTCCCTCCCTGTACCTTATTGCGTCGATGAGATTAGTTTGACGCCGTTTGAGATAATTCTGAGCACTTTTTGTTAGAGCTCATTCTTTTTCTTTCTTTTCTCTCGTAACTCTTCAGAGCACAAAATGAAGCAGGTAGATTAACTTTGTCGTACCCCTCTCTTAAAAGCCCATTGAACTATGTCAACCCGATCCATTTCCCTTCTCTCATTAAATTAAATGAATAAATATAATAAAATATTTTCTCACTTATAAAAATAAATAATTCTTCTAACTATGACATAATAATATTAATAATATTATTATTTAAAAAAAAGGATATTACAACATTCTTCTTGAAACACAAACCAACGTTAACAATGACCATGACATGAAAGAAGGAGAAATTGACAAGTTTCATAAGTGTACCATATGTATCTTCAACTTTAATATGTTTGTTTACCCATGAACCATTCCTATTGCAGGTTCATGGTAGAATTTGTCATAAGGATAAAGGGCTAGATTTTTTTTTCCTCTCAAAATTAAATAGTAGGAAATAAGAGTAAACAACAAATAACATTTAAAAACTAAACAAACACAAACTTTATTATGTTCACAAGTAAACAAATGACAACATATACAAACACAACTATAAACCATTTTTTTTAACAACTCACACATTGAGCATTTCATGTAGGATGAATCAATCTACTTTCACACCCACAATGCCCTCTTATTTATTATACTTGCTAGTATATAGCATTATGCTAGTAGTTGTACATCTTAAAGTTATAACAACATGTTACTCCTTTACATGTGAAATGACTTATTTTAATGGTGTTGATCGAGTCACATGGGATCTAAAAGCAGTGAAGAGACAACATATTTTAATAATTCTCCAGTTGTGAATCTATCCATGTAATTTTCATATGAAAATTCGGACATACGTGCGTAATTAATGATACTATCGAGGACATGCTTTGGGATATCATTTGAATTGAGATATGCTTCATTTATAAGCTTCCAATAATCTTCAATGTCCTTGCGGATGAAGTTATAAGCCTCTACTTCTGAAATGTTATATTGCTTCATGCAACATTCCACAGATGATGCAACATGTACTCTTTGCTGTTCAAACTATATATCAATCAAAGTAAATCCAAATGTTCAATTAGGAACATAATAAGTATGACATATTAATTATGTTTTGATCGATAGATAATTATATATAAAAGGAGATATATGTCGAATCAAATCCCTAATTTCAATTAGAAATGAATTAATACCTTATGTGAGGCCATATCGTCAATGAGTCTAGCAATAAGTGATGTAGCTTTAATGATATTTGGAACACTTGAAATCCAATCGAAAACATCCTTTGTTGCAAACTCTCCAAGGCCAATAAATGATATGTAGAATAGAGTGCCGCAAGAAGTTAAAACTCCATTAACTTTATATTCATCATATGTTGGAACATGACCCTCATGGCACCATTTTGTTTCAACCATGTATGCTTTTGTTATGTTACAAATCTACAAGTAACATCAAATATATTGATAAAATAAACTAGATTATAAAGAAGTATTCAAGTAAAAATTATAGAAACTAGGAATCGTACGGCTTGTTTAAAATGTGGCACCACAAATCTTGATTTTCCACTTTGAGCTGTTAGCAACTCCATTTCATCACAAAGTTCTACAACCGTATCAAATACTACTTTCATACATTGAGGAAGAGGTTCAAGGAGACTAATATCCCATCTGGAATTAAAATGAAGAAGATTTATTGACATAAACTTTTAAGTGTGAAATAAGGAGCTAAAAATAAATGTTGATTATTTTGAAGTTATTTTTGTATTGAAATAGTTATATATAATTTGTAAGCACATCAACCTCTCTAATGCTTTTGTGAAGATTTCAAGTTCTTGAACCGTGCCATAATTATCATAAGTATCATCTAAAAGACCAGTAACACTGATCAATTTTCTCCCAAATAGTCTTGCATTGCTATCTTCAGGCTTGTAGGACAAGGCCAAGCTCCAAATAAAGCACTCAACGGATCTATCTCTAACGTAAGGGACCTTTTTCATAATGTTTGATTTTTGCCACCACCTATGAAAAGAAAATTACACCGTAACAATTTAAATCAGACATTTTTTAAATGTTTGGATACAATCCTAAAGACCTATTTTATAATAATTTAATATTATTCAAAATATAAAAATAAATATGTTAAATTTTATAAAAATCAAGTTTAATTTATTTATGATATAAACATGTTTTTAATATCTAATATATTTTTTTTTGATAATTTATTTTAAAATATATTTTATAATAAAAATTCTAAATGAAACATAAATCTTCCGATTTTTCTTATTTTGATTTTTTTTAATCAACATATACAATTTTACTATTTTGATTTTTTTTATTTTTTTAATCAACGTATATAATAAATAGAAAACACAAAAGGTAAACATGCATACTACAATTTTTATTTTATCAAAAAAAAATTTTTAAAAAAATTGATTCATTATTAAAGAATATTCTTTATCACATTAAAGAATTAATCTCTTTTAAAAGTTTGATAAACATCAAATAAATAAACATCCAAATCTATATTTTATACATATGATAATTTAAACATATAATTTTTATTTTTTAAAATATATTATTTTTTAAATAAAAAATTATGTATGTGTCAAATAGTAGTGGGGGCAAGTGCCCCCACTCTCCAACAAGTGGATCCGTCCCTGTATAAGACTATTATTATTATTATTATTATTGTCTTTATAATTACCATAATCATTACCATCTGTCGTTATCATAATTTCTGGTACACATCGTTGTTGTCACCATCACCGCCACTGTATCATGTGGCAATGAAAGGGAGTGACAATGATAACAACAATAATAATATTATTAATAATATTGAGTGACGATGGTAATGGTTATGAAAGTTGTAGGTGGTGGTGATAGTTGTAATTTTTATGAAATTTTATATGTTTATTTAATAAATTTTAATTTATAAAATCATCCCACCCGGGTCTAATCTTTCTGGCTCGGTCCCTGGCTAGGGTTACCCTTTGTATTTCATCTTATCAACGTCATCTTTTTCAATCCCGCACCAACCCATAAATTTTTTATTTTACTATTCCAAAGCCGAGTTTAGCGCCCCAAAATCATGTTTTCTATTGGGTTAAACAGAGTTATGGGCGGGTGTAATATTTTGATTAACCCTACTTATGAGTATTATTTTGGTCTCGATCACATATATGTTTAACTAAAAATAATTTTATTCAAATTGAATATAATTAGTATGATATTTCTTCTAAATTTTTAACATAATGATATACATATAATTCAAATTTAAGATCAGTAATTAAGCTAACACTACGTATCAGGTATCTGTTCATTGCGTGTTTAGTGTACCTACAAATGATCATTTAAACATGTGTACGTATTACGGTAAAAAAAAAAAAATGACATAATTGATCTAGCAAAGTATTGCTGTCATTTTTTTTTTTTTAAGTATGAGACGTTTAATGATTTAATTATTTTTTATCCGGAAGGGAGTTAATCTACACCTTTCAAATCCTCCTCTCAGGACCAGCTTTCATTTAGATACGTATAGTTAGGACTTAGGAGAGCCACAAATTAGAATTTTTTGCAGGTCAACCAAAGTACACATTGCAAGATCTGGTGACTGCAAAACTTTTACAACTATTGCTTAATTTGTTAAATGACTAATAGATGAATTGCATGAATCACATTTGAGAAGGTATATATCACATGAATCACATGGACCAAAGATTACGCGATTTCTTAATAAAATTATTTTAAAAGATATATTATTTTTAACAACGAAAAGTTCAATTGATAATATAAAATTAGATACTTAAATAATTAATTTATACAAATGAATTTTTAGAATAAATCTAATATTATTTTTTCAAAACTAAATAATCTATTTATTTGACAATTTATCATGTCAATTTTCTTACCAATTAATGATCCATGACATGGAACTTTTTTTAAACTATGATATTGACCGGAGTATGAATTTTGTCAGAAATTAGTTTTATCGAGAAATTAATTATATTAAAATTATCTCTTTTAATATTGTTTTTTATAAATCCAAGATTAGAACTCAATATCTTGATATTTGAAAATCAATCACAATATCAGTTAAATTAACAAATATTAATTAATTAAAAAAATTAATAATTTCAATTTCAAATCATTAAAATGTGTAGTTGCGTATGAAGAAATTTTAGCACTTATAATAATAGCATTTAATTTATTAAGGCTTAAATATGTTTAAACTATCTCGAATTAGATCAGTTTTCGGATTATTACTTTTTAAATTTATTTTTAAATTATTTGACTAATATTTTATTTTCAATTTAATACTTGACGTTAGTCTTCGTTTGTTAAATGATGACGTGGTTAACAGACTGCCACGTCATCACCCAACAGTGTATGTCATGTCAGCACACATCACCACTTCATTCTCTATGTTTGGCAGTTAATAAGAAATTGAAAGAGGGCTCTAAGAACAAATTAAATAAACCCTAAAAGAAGAAGAAGAAAAAGACTCTCATGGGTGAAGAAGAAGAACCGTGAAAAAAAGAGAAAAAAGAGAGAAGAGATTATGATTCTTTTTTGTTTGTCTTCGTCATTAACCTAATTCGAAGTAATTTAAACATATTTAAGTCATTTATTAAAAAAAGCAATAACATTCAATGAAAATTAGTCATATTCGCTGTATGTTCTCTAGACAGCGGTGGGTGGTCCTAGAAAAATTATGATGACATACATCGCCCAAAATGAGTCCGTAAACTTTCTTTGACTCACTTTTTTTCTTTTCTTAAAAATAACAATAATAAATTTTGTTTGATTATTATTGTTGTTTATTATAGCGATAATCCTAATAATATGTATTAATATTAATTTATTAAAAAAACTATTAGTACTAATAATATATATATATATATATATATATATTATTCAAAAATAGTTATTATACGTGTAATTTTGGTTTTGAGTTACGTATATTAATTAACTTTAATACATGTACCCAAAAAAAATTTAGGCTAAAATGGTATTTTAGTCCTTTATAATAAATGTTTGTTTTAATTTAGTCTCACTTTTATTTTTTGTCTCAATTTGCACTACAACAAAATTTGTTATTAATGACAATTATTTAATGATAATAATTTAATTGCCGCCATATGTAAAAATATTAATGGCTAATATATAATAGCCACTAAAAATGTATTTATATTACACTAAAGTTTACTATTAACGATAATTATTTATTAGAAAAAACTTAAGTCTCACATCGATTAGAGATAAGATAATTAAATAGTATATAAGTGAGTAATAACTATCACCTTACAGGTTCATTTTATAGAGTTTACTCCTAATTTTGTTTTTTTTATATATATAAATTAATACAAATTTTAAACAAGAAATATAAGGAGTGAGAACAATTTTCAAAGAAATGTTTATAATCACAGAGCATGCGTAACAATAGTTAATATTAGAAAATATATATAAAAATTTGAATTACACTTGCAGTGACTAGTCAGGATAAATGAGCATTATAATATTAACCAGCAAAAAGATTTTTGATCTTAACTCTTTACTCATTTAAATCTCCAAGGTCAAACCTCCAGCTACAAATAATTCAAATTTTATTTTCTATGGTCATAGAATAATATTTATCTTTAAAATTGGGTGGGAAAGGGATTGAGATAATTAAAAATATAAAAACTTAGATTTAGTTTTAATTGCGATCATCTTTGTAATCTTTCCTATATTTGTTTATAAAAAAAATTAAGTATTTAAAACTATCACAACCATTAAATAAAAGAGATTAGATAAGCGAATATTAATACAAAGTTAAATAGTTGATAGAAAATAATAATAACAATAATAAGCATTAAAACTAATAAATAATGAGCAATAGCATCAAACAGCTCCAATTTTTTTGATATATATATAATATTGTAATTTGTGTCAAAAGTGCCGGATGCACATCAACACTGTTTTCAAAAATTATTTTTTATTATTTATTTATTTAATAAACACATTTGTTTTTTTGACAGATTTAACAACGACCCAATTTGTAGTTATATGTTTTAGGCCTAAAAAATATATATTCATAATTTATTTCTTTATGTGTTTAGGCCTAAAACCTAAACACATAAAGAAACTTTGTCATTTTTTTAATTCTTTTCCTTTTTATATATATATTTATTTATTTATTTTATTTATTTATTATTTTTTTTTTGTTTATAGTCTTAGTATTTTGAAAATTAATTTTTATTTTTTTGTCACATAATTGTTTTTCATTTTTTTATACCTAAGATGTCACATAATACTTTTATGTTAATTGTAAATTAAAGTCTGTATATTGGCATTTTTTTGGGTCTTTTCTTTATACAAATATGTGCAGCTGCTTCTAGACGTTTTGGTTGCTGGAAAATATGCTCGCATGTGCCTTGATGATATGTTTGGATGGGGAATTTATATAGGGTAATTCATTTATTTGAAGAATTTTAAATTCTTTGAGGTGAAATGCTTTGTTTGGATGAGGAATTTACAAAGAATTTGAAATCCAAGCATTTGTGAAATTCCTTCAAGTAGTAGAATTTCAAATTCTCCCAAAAATGGGAGAATTTGAAATTCCTCATATTTGTTTTCTTATTTCACCTATATATTTTATCTTATCTCTTCATTCTTTTAATTATTGGATATTCAAAAATATTTTTAAAATTATTAAATATTATCTAATATTAATTTTTAAAATTTTTAAATATTTAAAAATGGATTAATATTTATTTTTATAAAATTTAATTTTAAAATCTCAACATATAAATATGTTTTTAAAATCAATTTTATTATGGTGAAATCAAATTATCATATTCAACCTAACAATTTAAAATTTAAAAAATTTGAATTGACTCATCCAAACAAAATATTTTAAGAATGATAGAAATTGAAATCAAAGTAATTCAAATACCAAGAATTTAAAATTCCTTGAATTTGTAAAATTTCTCATCCAAACACACTATGAATGTATTTTTGGTGTTATATTCATTTGCGGCAATTGATTGGGAAC